GAACTTCTTCCCTCTGAGGGTGACGGAGCACTGGAACAGGCTGCCCAGGGAGGTTGTGGAATCTCCTTCTCTGGAGATATTCAAGACCCACCTGGACAAGATCCTGTGCAGCCTGCTGGAGGCGACCCTGCTTCGGCAGGGGGCTGGACTAGATGACCCACAGAGGTCCCTTCCAACCCCTACCATTCTGTGATTCTGTGATTTGGCTCAGTGATGAGTCTGTTAGAGGGGAACTGATTCGTGCAGAAATATAGTTGGCAATTCACTATCCTCTGTCAGATGGCTTTTTAGTTCTGAAGCAGTGCTACGTGAACCACAACCAGGTAGGATTTGACAAGCTACCAAAACTAGTAAGGCCTCACAGAGCATAGAAAGATATAGTTTAGAGACACTTAAAACTTGCTCTGTGGTACCAATCTGACAGCCAGTGCTGGAACATAGGTGTATTTATCCTGTCTCCATCAATGTTCACTTTGGAGAGGCAAATAGGACATGCTTTCTGCAACAGGGTAAGCTGTGCCTTGTCCTGCAGCATTGCCTCATAAAGGCTGCTTCTTGCTAAGAGCTTCTATTGTCATGAAGGTCAGAAGAAAAAGTACCTGTGTACTGCAAAGAGCATATGTGTGTTATATCCAAGGCCATTTTACAAGAGCAGACTGAGAGAATTACAATGAAATAATGCAACAGTGCCAAGTAGGCATAATTAAAAGCACAAAGACAGAATGGGACAGCACACAGAGGAAAAAGGGATGGAATGCTAAGTTGTACATGTCTTGAAAACATCTAATAAGTGTGTAACTACCTAAAGAATGAGCTAGATCTGAAGAAATAGGACCTTTGTGAACAAGGCGGTAACATCTATAAATACAGAAACACACATCCATATACCTGAAATTAAAATCTAACAGCTAGTATGTCTAAATTCAACATACCCTGCAATAAAATACTTCAGTTTCTAGTCTCTCTAATACACACTTAAATTAAAATGAATGTATATTGAAAAACTTTCCATGAAACACTGAAATTTATTTTAAAATACAGATCTAGCCTCCAATTAAAAAAGAATTACATACACAGATTGAGGTATTACCATTCTTGGTCTTCCCTAAATACTTACAGTTATAACACAACAGCAGACCAGCTTCACCATCTTCATATACATCAATAGCTGCAACAAAATTAACCTGCAATGATAATGGGAAATGGTAATGAAGAGGCAGAGGATACTGAGGTTATAACGAGCAGGTTTTCACTATCAAGCAATACAATCAGTTGGGGGAGTGTACAACTACACACAAAAGGAAAAAAAAAGTCATTTTTCAAATGCAGCTTCTTTTGTGATTAATTTTCAGGATGCTCTCAGTATGGAAATCAATTTCTTTTCTATTCAGTTCTGTATAGTACTGAATATTCAATACTCAATACCACACCCACAGCATAAAGCAATAAAAACTCACATAACTTGATATGAATTTTGGAAAATTGAGTGATTTCAGGACAGTTGTGAATCAACATAATATGCTAAAAGTAACAATTCTTTTCAAAAAGTGAAATCCAAAAAGCTCCATTGCACATCATGACTAGCAGAAAGATCAGACACACCAATTACTGGTTTAAAACCACTAACACTCACAGAGGTCAATAGGGATTTACTTCAGGATTACTGAATAGGCTGAATTTAGAAACTGAGTAGCAATGCTGGATAAACCACAGTATTTTTTATATAGCATAGGCTACATAAATTCTCACATTTCAACACTGTATTTGTCTCTTAAAGTTAGATTAAAAAACCCAAACCAGCCATAAAATGTAATCTGTTCAGCAAATGAGACCTTCTTAGTGAAATACAAAAGATTAGGTTACACATATGCTTCCCAGACTACATCATTTATTACTTGGGGAGGGAGAGGGGATGGAGACTAATTCCATGAACAGCAGTTCTCTGACTTTCCTTTGTACAGTAAGCTGGATGTTCACCTCTTGATTTAAGATTATTGTACAGGTCAAGAACTGTTAAACAGACCTAGAAGTTTATAGATCTATACCAAACACATTTTGACCCATCCTTTATAGTGACTGAAAGCCATTTCTGTTTTGTTATCCATGGAAATAATTTGGTGTCCCATTTCAACATCACAAAAATCACTGGCTCAGCTCATATTAACTGTCTGCTTTGTTTGTGTTCTCAAAGGAAATATGGATTCCTGGGGAGAAGAGGAACAGGGGGGTGGGGTGGTTCTTTACTTGTAGTTCTTCCTCATCTAGATTAACACAGATTTCCAGTGCTGGGGAGAAGTTTACACTGTATTGTCCATGCTAGGACTACCAAACTTCTTCATCATCAGATCTGAATGAAAATACAGATTATTTAAAAAGAAAATAACCTATAAACATGAACCATCAAATGAAAAGAGTAGTTCCTTATCTCATTATGAGGAAAAGAGTCAGTTAAAAACAACAACAACAAAAACATTAACTGTGCAAAATCTTCCATTTTTTTAACCTAAAACTCTAAGTCCACATCCATATTTAGAAAGCTTTAAAATTATCTGATTTTCAGAGACACTGAAGATCATGATCTTCCCAGCAGCAGGAAATACTGGAGCTCTTTTCTGAAAATCAGGACATTTGCTTAAATCCCAATCCTACGCCCTAGTTAGAAAGATTCGGTTAACTTATTAGTCGACTGGGCAGCAGTTTCTTAACTAGAACTAAAAGCTACATGTCAATATTTTAGCCTTAGTTATTTCGCGGCAATTTCTTAAACAATAAAACACTGAGACCACAAATAAAGGGCAAAAAGGAAACTATTCACTAAGAATGGAGAAAATTTAATTTATGCTGACAGCGACATTCCAGAGCCTGAAACATAGGCTCTTTCCTAACGTGTCATACCTTATAACTATCACTCTTGGGAGTGATTATTATCACATATCCCAAAAGGAACAAATATCTCAGAGCACCCTAAAGCAGATGTTATCGAAGTGAAAAATAAGAGACATGAGCATCTCCGTAAATTACACTCCCAGGAGGTCTGCACAAGAAGCACTGAGTCTGCAAGAAATTATGTTCAGTGTGGTTCTGCAAGAAAATAATTTCAATGATGAAAACTTACCCTGTTTGTTTCAACATGATGCAATCTATAGGATTCCCCAGTACTCTCATTAACTAGATCAAACTGATGCCGATACGCTACACAGATCATATTGTCGCTGTCTCCAGTAGGTCCATCCACCAGCGTCATAACCACTGGAGGGTCAGAAAGGCATATTTCCTGTAACGTAAATAATAGAATTGTTCTTTTTTTCAAGCTCCTACTGTGGGTGTTGCAGGTAATCCATGAATTTAAAGGGATTTGCTCTAAGCACCGAAACATGATAAAGAACAAGTGGAAACTTCATTAAAAAATTCTGAAAGATTTCTTCGGCATATATATGATGGAACTCCATCATATGGCTTCTCAATTTTATTTGTCTGGGGGTTCAGGAAGATAAAAATGCATGCTCTTTGTCATCCCCCCTACTAGCTGAGTGCTGCCCACTCCATTAGGGTAATCAGGGACTAAATTACACATACCCGGATGTACTGGAACTCCTCCACTGGAGAGTCACATGATGATAGCAGAGAGCTGCTGGTTAAACTGTTACATGGATTATATTTCTTTGTGACGAGAAGTAGTTTGTTCCGAATAGCCACAACAATCCTCAGTTCACTGCCATGGTGAGTATTAATGGCGTACAAATGGCAGCCTGAGAAAATAATGCTATAGATTGTAAGTGCTTGGGGTAGTGTCTGCTTTTTTTGCTCTATATTTCTATGATGATTAGTACAGCAGGGCTCTGATGCGTGACTTAGCAACACAGACTTAAAAACCTTCTAACAGGATGTTAACTTCCAGAAAAAGACAAAAGCCTATGACTCTTTTGAAATCTCTTTTCCCCCTTATTCTTTTTGCAAGTAAAGCCTAAATACATGGATTTTCACTATTCTGAAGGTTCCAGCTTTCCAAAGCAGCTTGCTTCTGAAGACCAGAAAATGCTTATGTCTACTAAAATAACAGGCAACATCCAAACTAATCCAAGCACTACTATTTAAAGGAGATTTGCTAGTGTTCTTCCACCTTAAAATGCTGTTTACTTCAGTCTCACATCCCTGCATAACTCTTCTCATACCTCTCAATCCTGAAAGCAACATACCGATTTTTTTCTGGAGCTTTTCATCAGCAGTGATTGTCAAGTAACATGGTATTTTTGCAAAGTTCTAAAATGTCACACTGGACTATATTAGACTTATTTTCACATATCAGCTTAACAAAGTTTGAATTGACTGCCCAGACAAAAAACGAAAGATGAGCATGTACAACTGCCTCAAGCGAGTTAATAATCCCCTGGAAACTACGGGCATCATACCACAGTGGCTGTTTTTAACACAGGATAGATAATAAAATCACCTTTTGTTCTCTCCAGTTTATTTTCCCTGCAGTCATATTTGCTCCTTATCATTTGCTTTGTTTCTATACCTTTTTGGACAGCACTGAGTCTGAAGACAAGGAGACGAGAGTCCTTCCCTGAAGGATGAAGAAAGGAAACAAGAAGTTAAAAAAAGATTGTGGTAGTTTGAAATCAATACTTCCAAGGAGAAGCAGCACCTAACAAACAGAACAAAGATAAACAAAGCACACTGCTTCTCTGGGGATGAGCTGCAACATCATACAAGACTGCTTATGAATTCTCTAGGCTTTACAATTCTAGTAACCAACCCCTTCAAGTTCAGTAGCTGAGTTTCCCATCAGGTGGTGCTGCAGCAAAGAACAATATAAGAGCTTCAAAACATTGAAATGTACAATATACAAAATGTTGCAAGATAGTGAAAATATAACAGATATAAACTAAAGGGCAAGAGTAAAAAGTTTAACTACAAAAGCTGGAACCGTCAAGCTGAGCAGCTGATAACTCCTTAACAGAGGTTTAAACCCTTGAAGATGCAGACTGGTTTTGCTTATCAGTTCTTCAAAGGTAGGCAAGTTAGGTTGAAGGCATATTCCAACTGCAAAAAATACTACAGTATTGACTTCCGTGGCTAAATCTGTTTCCCACAAAAATAGATATGAGTGGAATCTACAACCCCTAAATTTAAAACAAATAAACGAATGATGCACTACTACTTGAAGTTGGGAAATAAGTGACTTAAAAGTAGTTTCTTATCTAAGAAACCAAGTTTCTTAAAATGCAAGCAAGGCAAGCTATTCTGACAAAGGTAGACTCTTACTAGACTAACTGGTATGCTGGAAAAACTAAGCATACTTTCTTAACATATAGTTGGTGTGGATCCCACTGTAAAGGCAAAAGCAAAATCATGGGTGCTGCCTTCAATTCTGAGAGAACAACAATATTAATCAGGATGTCTGGCCCCTGCATGACCTTCTTTTCCCAAAGCAAGTGTAAGAGAAGAGAAGATGCACTGCTTCTTTAAGTCTCCCACAACTTGAAACATTGAGTAATCCGACTCAGAGAGCAAATTCTTACTGTCAGCACTGACAAAAGGAAAATAAAATACATGCAATCCCTCTCTTTTCAAGAATGTGTGCACAGAAGAATCTGTGCTTCCATGAACAACTTCATGGAAGAGGAATGGCAAGCAACAATCACATCCTTTTGGAGGGAAGGCCAAAAAACACAAGCCAAGTCAAATGTTCAAGGACTGTGTTACTGCTCTCACCAGTTCAGTCTCTCTCTGGACTTAGTCCTGCCTTTAAAGTTCAGTTAGTTATTCCAAACGTAACAACCTGAAGAATCAAGCATCAGAATCTGGCAAATGCCTCATACAAGCAAAGACTGTAAATATAGTTTTCTGTGGTGGGGACAAAACTTATTAGTTAGATGAACATCAAGGCATAGAAAACACGTATCTTATGTTTGTAATGTCCAACAAGTTGCCAAAAGATAAACTACACTGTAGATTTACAGCGAGTGAGCTAGCCCATGCTTTAAGTCCTGATAATAGTAGGCTACTCTTTTCTAAAGCCTTTCTCTGTTTGATGAGTAAGGCTGCCTATAAGGTGTTTCCCACTCTATCCAAGAATATTCTCAACTTATCTGAAACCATCCTTGCCCATGGCACTTGACAAGTGAACATCTTCCATGCTAGATGTGATAATTTGGGGCCTGGCTAGTGATGATCATCTGATAGTGACATGGCAAAATCTGAGCTAGATAGCTGCAGAGGCAACTGAATGGGCCTCTGTAGCAATCTGAAAACCAAAATTTTCTCAGTAAACAAGAGTGACTTTTGATAGCATCACACAGGACTAGGGAAATCAACACAAAAAAAAATACAGGAGGCTCTGCTTTCAGGTCAGAAAAGGCATAGGGCAGAGTCAGTATTAGAAACTTGTTGAACATTGTACCATGATAGTCTGCTGTTAACTGAATACTAGCCCTGTTATCAACCTTTGCAGCAACTGCTTATGATTGCTTATGATTTTGCGATATCTGCTCAGAAAGTCTCACAGCTTGGTGCCAACTCTTGGAAAGTGCAAATTATAATCCCATGCCCAAAACTGGATCGCTGTGGTTGCCGCCTATTGTTTTTGTCAATCTAAAATCCCTACCAAGTTTGTGGTACCTCTTTAGGAAAGGAATCAAGAGTGGCTCTCAAATTCATGGAACATTTTAATGCTATGAAATGCGAAATGTAACCAAGGACTTGCCTGTTTACCCACTGTTTCACAGCTACTGCACAATTCTTGGTGCTGCAAGTGAGTGTTTTCAAACACCATAACACACAAATTTATCATTTTCTCCTAGATTCTGCCTCTGATTAAGTAGTTGCTCCTCCAGTGGTAACTGTAGTGTTCAGTCTTCGTACCTGAGCTACTACTTCAGCTAGATATTTTACAAACATTCTTGGTGATGCATACAATTCTGAAATGCTACACCTGCGTACCCATAGCAAAACTCAAGAACTTTTTCTGGCCAATCTGAATGTCTGCATTCTTCAAATAAAGAAATTGTTGCAAACAGGCAGACATCGCGGGGAGAAAGTATTACCACCTAAATTAAGTGCTGTTACTTTCGGAGGTTAAGCCAAACTTCAGAAGACCTTTTATGCTTCCATCAAACATGCCATATTTACCTCTGTGAAGATGCTACGTGTGTGCAGCAAAGGGTAACACACGATAACTTACTTCCCGAGTAGTCATTTCACTATCAAGGCAGAACAATGACCACTGCCTTCAGTGAAATTGGTTTGATATGCTGTTTAAAAGGAATTGGGGTTTAAATCCCCATAGGCCATGAGATTTGTTCCCCATACGTTGACAGTAAGCCTGCCTTTCAGCAGACATAAATCTTCACTTTTCCTGGTTATTTAAAATAGCTCTGGCTCTTTGACTGGTGTGTCCTCTAGGATGCATCACTCCTGTCTCACAATACTAGTTCTTTTGCGGATGTTCCAAACCCCCCCACTGTAGTGTTAAATTTATCTGTAGGCATTTCACAAAATGAAGCTGGAACAAAAAAAATACATGTTTGGAGGACAAAACAGATCCATTTCTGTGCCTTGCCTCTCACTACTAGGACAAAGTTAACCACAAGATATCCCAAACACCCCACTGTAGTGTTAGGTTTAACTGTGTCTACATTAGAACAGAGGCCATTGCTACCAAAGCTATTTCTGTTGCTGTCATTGACACCTGCTGTATTGGTGCCTTCTTCAATGCCTTCTCTTGGAATGTTGACCCGAGTAAGCTCTTGTTGATAGTTAAGCTTAAAAAGTTCCTAAAAACCCAAGTTAAAAAATATCCTAAAAACTTACAAAATCTTTGAACCCAGTTTATAGGCGCAGTACGAGCATGCTTTTGCTCATCTAACTCATTATTTTTCTAATTTTTGCTGCTAAGGTGTAGTCTGAAAATGAAAGGCAAGTATAATCTTTATTCCATCCCAGATCTTAATTTCAATATGGTACGCAAATACAAAATAGGAGGGCAGAATTCCAGCGAGTATAAAAGAACTTTTTTCTAAATGCTTCAGAAAGCATCCATATCAAGAGTTAAAACTCTCTGCAATTTTTCATGAGTAAGATTTTATCAGACTATGTTTGAAGTGTCATGAACTGATGCCAGTAATACGTTGTTCTATTACCTCAAAATGCCTACTTACATCTCTTTTTTCAGGTTTAACCAAACAGTGCAATGTTTTGACAATTTAATATAATCATCTTTTCTAGAAGCTTCACACACTACGCTTCAGATACAACTACCTTTTTCATAGCTTCAGAAACGTCACCCACCCTCCAGGAATCTTGAGAGAGAACTGCAAATGGCTCTCAGGTAGTTTGAGCCAGTTCTATAAAGTTCCAGGGTGAATTTCATCAGGTGCAGCCAAATTGGGCAACTCCCAGTAATACAAAAGGCACCATGTTTTACCCTAAGTTTGGGCAAATGCAACTTCAGCCAATACTGCGCAACCAGACATAATGTGGTAAAAAACGATAAAACAATCATATTTATAATTATTTTCTCTGTGTTACACATAAAGATCCTGTTCTTGCTTTGTGTATGTTCACTTTGTGAAATTCAATCACAGATAATTGGATGAAAGGTACCTCATTGAAAAAGGGCATATTTTATGCACATCTAATGCTTCCAAATGAGGCTAAAAAGGAAACATTGGCAGCCCAAACAACATTTAAGTTCTTTTATACCAGAACTTTCAAGGAAATACATTGTATAACACTAGCATGTGGTGCCAGTTAACAGAATAAATACCAATAAAATACATCTGGTAAAACAGTGACAGCGTAAGCAATTTCCCCCACACTTTCGCACAACTGAACAAACACACAATTCAATCAAGGAGATTTCCAAATAGTGAAATAGTGTCGAGTTCCAACAGTGGCTGAAGAAAGGCCGTTTTAGAAAATTACAGCAGTTGCTGTATGCGCTCACTTATTTCTAACTGAGGCATCTAAAATACTTGCCACTGATAGACACGATTGCCTTATGAGACATATATCCCCAGCACCAGCCACATTCGTATGAGAATCAAAGAACAGGGGCTGCTCCTACCTTTGTCTGTTCGGGCAATCAAAAGATCCAGAGCTTCCAACACATGCATCTGCTTTATTTGGAGAGTTTTATCAAATACTTGCACTGACGGTTGACCATCTGAAAAAGAAACAGACATGGTTATTCAAATGTCTGCTAAAATTTGCTAGTCACTGGTTTTGACCTATTTTCTTTTTTGTAATAAAAGCCTAGGTTTTTTTCTCATGAAAATGAAAAAACCTGCACAAAGTGGCTACATATAACACAGCATCACAGCCAATACTTCCTCACAGGAGAGTTTTATCATTGCCATGGATCAGATTATGCAATTGGAGCCTAAAAGGGACCTTCCTTTGGAAAGTTTGCGAAATACCGCTGAGAACTAACTTCATTCCCTCAGTCCCGCTGGCCTTCTATGGCACACAGAAGATAAGGGGTCAAAATGGCAATACCATTGCTATGGAACAAGCAGGCTTTCACTGTCACATAAGCCTTTGGCTTCATGCTCACTATCATCAAGGGCTAAGAAATGCAGACAAGCCATTTAAACACTCCTTGAACTTGGCTGTGACTTCATAAGTATTTTCAGATGTTCAAGAAAACAACATCTGAAACAACAAAACATTCCGAAATCTGCATTAACTTTGGCTCCCCAGTATGGCTTGATTCTGAGGCAGGGAGAATTTTCACAACTAGGTTATATAAATATAATAAATTCACTTGGATTGGTAACTATCCCTGTAGGTGAAGACCTACGAACACCTGAACACAGCTTATGAACATACATTTTCAAGAAAATGGTCAGATACATAAAAATTGACACAAAAACACTGGATCATTTACTAACCATCTATTAACAAGATGCCAACATCTGTAGAAACCAGCAAGGACTGGCCCCAAGAATCTGCACAGACAACCTCATGAGGAAAATTACTGCAGAAAGATTGAGATTCCCAAGGCTATGAAGTAACATAAGGGATACATATTAAGCACACTAAGAAATACAGATCATACAGACACAGAATGTGATGGACAATGGCAAGTAATAACATATAAATGCTTTTGTCAGGATACATTTCCAAACAATATATTTTTTGCACTTGAAATATCAAAATTTTGTTAATTTTCTTACAGAGGAAATACGCTCCCTATTAATTGGGATGGAGACTGATTAAGTGTAAGACATACTCCTGAAACACTGGAATTAAAACACATGCAGCTGATACTCAGTGCAAACATAGAAATACTCAATATTTATTTTATTAAAAAAAAACCCTATAGAATTAAAATGTATGCACCACCATGCATAGACAATTTGCTTACATTTTATGGCTCAGTTTGTACTGTTTAGTCACCAGCACACGGTACAGTTAAAATTGATTTTCTGCCAAATTGTTCTTTCACCACATGTCCTCTGTACTTACCTCCCAGTGTCTGCCCCTCCTTCCTCAATTTAACTATTAGCTGAAGTCTCTCAAATTCCAGAAGCACTTCTGAGCTTCTGTATAAAAGATGCATGCATAAGAGTATGGTTTGCATCTTTCACTCCCTAGTGCCTTTGAACAAAATCTGGTACTACAGGGAATTAAAACACAACTGAATCTTGTTTTAAACTTGATGCAGACGTCAAAATACAGGATGACTGCACATGGAAAATGGCATTTTCATCAAATATTCTCAGATATAAAAGTATCCACTTGTTTTAACCAGAGAAGCACTTCTGCCTCCAGGCTCATCCTTTGTTCATTTGATATTGGCTACAGAATCACTTTGACAACATACATTTCATCTTTGCTGCTACAGTATCTAATCACCGAAGTAAATAAACAGTATGCAGAACTGATATACAATGCCATACTTCATAGTGTTCAATTTTTTTACAACTGTCCTCAGACAGATGGGTTAACTCACCTCCTTTTTACAAAAGCTTGTGGTTGCCAAGTTGGCTGCGGCATCCCCTTTCACAGTGGTTTTCAATTTCAATGCCTAATACAAACAGATGTTTTATTTAAATGGATTTTTTGTCAGCAATACCGAAGATAAAGACTATAAAGAAAGGACAATTTAGGACTACAAAGTAACTCCAGTTTGGAATTCTTATCACATTTTAAGTAATTAGGAAAGAAGCTGAATTCTGTATATCCTGAACAAAGTCTGCATGAATCACTAGAGGGCTGCTAGATATCTTCTCAGCCAAAACATATGTTGATTGGGTTTCGTTTGTTTTTTAAATGGAAAGTCAAAATCAAAAAAGTACTGTCAAACATAGTAACACAGAAAAGCCTCCACCTCAAATCTTACAAGCTAGTCATCTAAACAATTCATTCTGTAAGCTAGCTGGATGGAGGATCCTTTTATCAATTATACAAGCTGGCCTTTCACTTGCAAAACTACCTAACAAGCCACTAAATCAAACTACATACATACACATTGCCAGGGGTACCAAAAACACACAGTATCACAAATTCTTCAACTAGAAGTAAACAGCAGTGAGTTGATTCTGGAAAGGCTAAGAACTCTAGAGAAACACTGTATAAACATAGATTCAGTGAGATACACAGCAAGTCTGTTTACAGTATCCTATATACTTTCATTGCTAACCTTTACAGCAGCATTCCTACAAAGTGAAGACACGTGGAATTGTCACAGCATTCTTTAATGCAAAGTTTAGAAATTACCTAGACCAATTTTACTGCCTGAAAGTTTGCCTACCATCATGCACAGTCTCTGTGAAATGGCAGTAATCAGCTGCTAGCACCCCTTGCATATTGCATTAAGCATGGCTGTCAAATTACTGATGCATCAAATATTTCATTGCATTAACATTTTAATTTCATCCCACCAGTCAGTAGAGATCACCTTGACAATAAATAAATGATTTAAACATACTGCTGAGGCAGCCATCAGTGAGTTCTGTTTACCGTCTAAAAACCCAACAGTTACAGTTTGTAACTTAAAAGGAAAGTTCTTTCGGGAAAGATTTAAATGTGAAAAGAACCTCCAAGAAAAACACGAAGAAACAGGTGGCTACGAATTTTCAACCCACATATTAGGTTTGCCTTCGATGAAGACCATGCTGGGGATGGAAATCTCGTTTAAGAAATAGGTCCCAAATAGATCTGTCACATGAGTATCTTATCAGCATTTAACTTGGTGGGGGTGGAAGGGATCAAGCTTCTAAGTTTCTATACTTTCAATAACCATGTTTTCCTTTAACTTCTGTAAAATATTTAGTACACTTAGGGAATAAATCATTGGTTACTTCTGTCTGAATATTACAAACACTTTTTCTTTCTACTTTTTTTCACCTTTTTTTTTTTTTTTACACCTGCCTAGAGTGACTAGCTATTTCAAGGTGGTTGGGGAAAGGGTGAGCAAAGCACAGAGGAGTAGACTTTGCAGCCCTGCCAATGAAAGCTTTAACAGCCCTGAGATACTTTTGCACCAGCTCTCCACCACCTGGCTCCATTCTCTACCTTTAACCGGACATGGAACTTCTCAGACTCTTCCACTCTCAGCTTACTAACTCAGATATAAAATGGGAGGGGAAGAGGCTTGGGTTTTGGTGAGGTAAACCAGCTCAGAAAAGAGGTATTCTTAAGATAAACCGCAGAACCTTGTCACCAGTCCAAGATCAAGCAGAGATAAGTGGAAAGGGACAGGGGAACTGATGAGCATAGACACTGTCTTTTTTTTCCTGCTGCAATGAACTGTCAGATCAAACCAGACTATCTAAATCATCAGGAAGCTCCACTCTCCACTGAATCACAATGTCAATAAGCCCACAGATCGGAGTCAGAGTCTGGTATGTTCAAAGATGTGTGGCAACCTCTGATCTAGCAGAAAGACTGTCAAAACTTCTTTCTGGATAAAGTAGGGCAAATAATTTCTAAGGAATTCAATCTTGATAAAACATATAGAGGAAATCCATGAAAGATTATGGTCCTCCAAAGAACAGAAAAAGACCGAGCACTCTTCTGCTTGGAGCCAGAAAGCATCTGCTGCACGAAGCAGGGAAAGAAAGACCTTTTAAGTTTTATGCTAAGGTGTGATTTTTCCAACCTTCCTTTAGCTTACATATTTTATAAATATTTGTAATTACGTTGTGTACGTCAGGTGTTACAGACAAATACCTCTATTCATATGTTACCTTAACATAGCTTAAACTGATGCAATACTACAAAACTATTTCTGACAACAGAGAACTGCATTAAGTCCTGACATAACTCTGCAAGCTAATCATATTCTAACAAAAGGGGTGACCCAGTCTTTGTAAACATAGGTACGCACCTCCTAAATTGATCCTACCTGACCAAGTCGGACAAACTCTGCTTGCCGAGCTTCCTCTTTCTTCCGTGTTGATTTTGGGGACTCTGGTAACACATCACTGAAGGACCTTCTATTGAGCATGTTCTGAAACAGAAAACATTTCTTTTTTAAACTGAACCAAAAGTTTTCATGATCTTTTGATCTGAGTTAACTTAAAGTGATATCATTTTGGATATTCTCCTGTACTGATAAATCTAACTGTGTAGCTTCTCAGAGAACAGAAATTGCAACTCTTCAAATCTTGAGTGCTTTACTTTCCAACTTGTCATAGTTTATCACTGTCATGTTCTATACAATCATAACAAAGACCGCAGATGTGCGGTCAACAAAAAAGTTTAAGCAGATCTATATAGCTCAGAAAAATAAACAGTGGGAAAAAAAATATCACCTTGCTAATTTTAGAAGTATTGACCTTTTTAGTTAAGAATCTCCCTAAGAATAAATCTTCAGTCTTCTAAAATGAAGTTAGCACATCATTACCCAAGGGTAAAAATGATCCAAATTTACACATAGTGGAATGAATACATGCAGTTTTTATGGTGACAAGACTAATAACTGTATTTGCAGAACCTAGATTTCCTATTCCCTTGCTGCAGGTAAGCTTACACAAAGCATGACATTGTTCTGCTTCTCCTCACACCCGGTTTAAATAAATGCATGAAGAGTCCTATCCTGAAAGGACTGTCTGTCAATTTTCATATAACTGTAAAGCAAGTTATATGACAACTGATATTTAGTCTAGTGTATGCAACTCAGTGCTCATTAGAATTACAGTATTTTAAAGCAACACAACATTCAATCTACTAGTGAGAAAAGGTGAGCATGTGAGGGATGCAGAGTCGTCTGACTTACATTTACCTTATGTAGATCAGGCATCAGGTCTTGGTATAAAGAGCGGATCAGCATATCCAGAGTGCGCTGACGTTTCTGAGAAAATGTTGGGGTTTCTAAGGTGGCTTTTTCCCCGTTTATTACTAAAATATTATGGAAAAGAAGATACATTACCTAAATGAACTTTGACAACTTCCACTGACTCTAGTTTGCCTCCATACAAAGACACCTGTTTTCCTCTCAGTAATTTACAGTTGCCTCAGTTTTACACGCTTTTTAGTGAATAGTGATCCCTTAAGCTTAAAAGAGAAAAAAAAAGTAATGGGAGAATTCTACAAGGCATCTCAATAGCCTCCTAAATAATACGAAAAATAAAGACAAATTGCTAACCAATTTAAGTACTAAACCAATTTAAATATGCGAAATAAGTTATTAGTCAAGTTCCTGTCAGGCAAGCATCTAATTGTAATCACCATGATCAGTTCTCAAAGAGTTCTTTCTCGCTGATTTAGAAGGGTAACTAAGGGTCAATGAAAACTGGAACTGAATCATTACAGAATTAAAAAGTTCTTAAGGTGTTGAAAGGCATCTATGCAGCATGCATTGAGAAAAGCTTGTATTTTCAGGTTTTCAGAACTCTAACCTAACATCCTCTTTTACTAAATATCAAACAGCATTATAAATTCTTTCAGATCTCCAAGTCCTTTAAGAAAATGCAAAGCTAAATGTGGCTGCACACTCTGAAAATGTAAAAATCCGTTTGTATCTAGTAGCCTGAGAAGCATAATTGCATCGAAATTCAGTTTTTTGTTAATCTGACTGGAACAGTTTGATGGAACTGACATCACACCTACAGTACAGATTCGAAAAAAAATTCTATACAGAACAGCAGCATACACAAGAAATGCATTTACATTTCAAGCATCATGTATTTCAATCTATTAAAGCACTTTTTTAGTAAGTGTTCCTAGCAAAAGAAAATACTGACTTACATTTGACTAACACAAAATCCCTGAATTCCCGGTGATTTGTAAACACGGGTGGGGATGGAAGGGGAGGACCAAAGAGAGGAACACTTTCTTCTGAAAATATCTTCAGCCTGTTGAAAGAACAAATCTTCATCTCTATTGAAAGCTACATTGAAAACCCACCATTTTATAGACACTATTCAAAACAAAAGAAAGAACTGACAATTGTTATCTGGGTATGTCTTAAACCCCCACGGGTCTAACAAAAACCATTCACTTGGAATTATTCACCTGAGCAAAATTCTGCTTCCTTTACACAAACTAAAACTGGGGCACTACCAACAGAACTTTGCAATTCTACTCATAGAACAAAGCTTTTACTGACACTAGCAAAATCTAGGAATTTTCAAAAAGGCTGTAAAATAACAGTTCTTCACCTACAAAATATGTTGTCCTTATAGATTTCCACCTTACCTATGCAGTCACCACACACATGAAATATTTGATTCCTTCTGAATAACAACAGCTTACTGGAGCTGAATCTGTATCTCAGGAATAGCAAATTCATTTTCACTGAGGAAGAAAGTGTCAGAATGATTTCCACGACAGCTGGACCTGCAGAGTTCTTTTGATCCATAAGGAATCCGGCATAGCAAAAATGAATGGCAGCTACAAAAACCATGCATATAACACGCTTAGCAAGCCATAGCTTCTTTAAGTAATCATTCCTCAGTATTTTAAGTGACAGTCTGCACAATTTTCTCCACTGTAAGACAGCAGTCAGACAAAGATCTTCCAAGCTGCATGAGCAGCTGACACAGGTTGCAGCAAGTTAAGTGGTAAAATTATAGATTCAATCCACCTCTACTGTGATACAACCCAGTCATAACTTGCTTGCTCAAAAAACCAGCAGTGATTGACTGGTATTGAGCCAAATGGATTCTAATGGATTCATCCAGTCTTTTTCATGAAAGCTTAGAAACCGTGCATACAATCTGAAATGCAGTATTACATTTGCAAGAATACTGGTCATTCTAATACTGGCTTCACAGACTCGAGACGAAATTTCAGAGATGCCTTATGTCCATCTCGTTCTATCCAGGTAAAAAAATAATCATTTATCACCACACAGGGTGTGAAATGTTCCTTGGCTAGACCAGAATGAGTTAAGACTGGGAAAACCAGAACAAAACCGACCTGAACAACAGACTCCTTGAGTGACATACAATATAGAGTCATTCTAAGCAGAAATTCAGTGTCAGACCTCACAGTGGCATTGGATATGAAACAAGGAAAATTTGCCTCAAAAGTCTAGACTATCCTCTGCTTCTTTTGACTGAAATTTTGGCCACTTAGAAGACCATCTTCACAAAAAAATAACACAAGGAACAGGAGTCCCATGCAGGGCTAAGGTGAAGGGATAGAAATAAATGTAATTAGGCCAAGCTGAAATATACAATAATGTATTAAGCCTGTCACACAGGGTAAATATACTGCATGGCATGCACTATGGGACGATGCGTTAAGACTGGCAGAATGAAACAACTAAGAAAAAAGACGGACTGATCTAGTAAAAGCGGTCAGTTACTCGGAGTGAGAGAGACATTTATCTTAATTACTGCTACTCATTTTCTTCCCAAATAAACAGCAATGTAAAAAGCATTGACCATGGCTACTATTAGCTTGCAAGTAGGACACCATTCACTTCTTAAAGGCTAATGAGGGATGTGTGGCCAGGTTTCTGTTCCAAAACAAGAAGAAAAGAAGGAAAGAAGTAACTCGGCTTTCACTGCACACAGGAATCATGAACATGTTTTGTGCCTCTCACAGACTCGGGAACGGTGAAAGGCAGAATCTGTAAGGACAATCAATTGGAAGAAAAATGCAAGAAAGTGCTCACAAAATCCTACGAGCAAAATAAAACTACTCTGTTTTTTAAACTGCACTCAGCCATTTTCCAAAACAAGCGTTGACTATAAATAGGGGAGGGGGGGAACCCCACATCTGCAAACTGAAGTATCATGCTCTTGGATTCTTCTCTGGAGATACATTAAATGGCATGCTGGAGAAACACAGTAATACAGATTTTGCTCATCTTATTAAGATTTCTTAGCTATACTGAAAAAAAAAGTTATTTCTAGCGAAGAATTCTTTTGAGATTTTGAGTACTTGTCCATACATATAGCCTCCCTGCAGATATACATGCACCTCAAGCACCCAAGTTTGTAGACTTTCAACTCCTCCACCTATTTGGCATGTATGTGCTTTGTCTCATCTCATACTCCACATCAAAAGCAACAAGGATGGTGTGAACCTTCTCCTCCAGCATGCCTCAAAATAAAGAGTCCCAAATATTAAGTGATTGAAAGAAAAAGGTAAGATAGGAGAAAACACACATATTTATCAGCAAGCTCTCTTGAAGAAATCTAGTTAATATTATTCCATTTTCTTCTCGCCTCCACATTCTTACGCATTTCCACATTTGCACTGCAGATGATTTCAAGTAACATTCATAAATGAGTAGGTGGAGTTGCAGTTGCACAAAAAGCACCAAACTTCTACTGATAATGATCAAGTTTTGGAGCGAGGCAAGAAGACTTAGTCAGACCTGTATCTCTGAGATCGAAAAAGCTCCAGTAACCTATATTGCAGCAACAACAGATTCTTACATGCCATGAAGACTGTTCAGCCTATGAAGTACAAAAAACTTCCAAAGCAAGCCTGAATTTACATATGTTGGAATGGTTGGAAGCATGTGATTGGACCTGAGCAGCAGCTTCTGAAACCATGGACCATGGCTGGTATCAGTGGTCTGTATTGTGCACTGAGGGAGAGGCTAAAAGAATGCCTTCTACAATGGTACTATATTGCTCAGCTGCCAAAGTGATATGGGTTGTTCACAAAAAAAAGGCACTAGTGGCAGGTGATGAGTTCCAGTGATACTGCTGGACTTTTTCACAATCTGCCTGAGTCTTCAGAGTTACAGAATTGTCAAGGAAGGAGGAAGCAAAACTGATCTACCTAAGGACCCTGTATTCCTAGAAGCCATTTCCAAGTTCAGTTTCTTTCTTTCCACTACAAGCTAACTAGCAGTTCACCTCAAAGGAGCAGATCCAATGATGTCAACCTGCAGGTGCCTCCTGCAAATGTGCGGTAGAATGATTTGCAAACAGTTTAAAATTTTGCTAAATAACTAATGTCATGCAGGCTCACAGAGCCACTAGAAATTTGCATTTAAAGCCTAACACAAAGACTTCCCCCTTCCATCTTGCAAAGTTTTTAGCTTTAACTGTTGTAGACATACACACACACATTCCAGTGTGACGCATAATTTTAGTTTCATGCCCTGAAATTTCCTTTCTAGTGCTAATCCTCTCCTCAAACGCATATCCAAAAGAGAACACAATGCTGCCATTTCTTTTTGACCTAATCTAAGTAGTAAATGACTTAATATGCTTTCAGTAGAAGAGGGATCATTACAGGCATTGCTCGTACTTTGTAAACGAGAAAGAACAGTGGCAAGTCTACGTCCTATACTGAGAACTGCAGCACACACTGCTACCTAAAGGGTATCTCTTTTATTTCTCTTTACTGCTTATTTGGTTCAAGCCCAAGGTGAATCCTTTCCTTGGGCTCGGACAATGACATCACACTGCCACTCTACTTTTTCAAGACTGACAGGTATTTCTGGCATTTCACCATTAATCTCAAGACAACAGTTGGGATTAACTACTTGGTTAAAGCCACTTTGTTCATTCAAGCCTAGGCATGAGGCTGCAGAAATGCTTGCTTTTCAGATTCTGCTGAGACCCAACAGACTCAAACTCGGGACATCATATGCCTCCAAGTGTGAGGGTCCCAAGGCTAATTGAAAAACAGATGAAGAACACTTTATTTACCAGCAAAATTCCACTAGGCATTAAGTACACGATGTCCAAGTGTACAAGTATTCTATTAAGATCCCTAAAAATGAACTGGTTTGCTTAGCTACAACTGAATCCAGACCTGTAAGGATCCACAGTCCATGGCTATCACAACATCACAACTAATTAACTTTTATTGTACATGTAGTTCACTATGTCATTGATCTCACCAGGTCAGAATGTTCCAGGCATATCTTCCATCATTTTATTACATTTCATCCAAAAAGTAGTTTTATGTTGTCCCTTTAGCTTATGCCTGTTCCAGAATTGCATTTTTCTGATGGTTAGAAACATGCAGCTTATTCATAGCCAGTTTACAGCCATCTGCATCCAGGTCCATATTGCTCTTCAATTTTGTAAGCTCATTTGGCTTCCTGGCATACAGACAGATGAACAATACAAACTGTTTCCCTTTATCTCTAAACCATCAGAAATTCACTGTAGAAGTTACCTGTTACAATCAGCACCTACCTGTAACTATCATTCTGCTTATTATATTTCACTAAGGCAAAAATATCTGCCATGCAGTTAAGGAAGTTAATAGAGTACTAATGAAGCTCACGTGTTTTAATACACTTTTTTTGTCCTGCAGCAGACTGCAGATTTCATAAAGGTAAAATACATTCATCAATGTAAATATACAAAATATTCTATAGACATTTTACTGTTTATAAAGGAGGCCCTATACAATTTTTTATAGTGTTTGATCAATACTTAAAAAAATTAAGCTAGTAGCATAAGTACAGACTTCTTGCCATTATATGAAGCGTAAAACATGCTATATAGTTTTGTGGTTTGTGTGTGTGTTTGATAGAGTTGTGATTAAAAATTCTTTTAGTTGATAAAAAATACTGATTCTGAAACTCATTTATACCAAAGCTTCCACTGAAGAAAATATGCCAATGAAATAATGTAACTAACAGAATTATAAGAAAATAGAGAGGAGGATCTAGAGTGCAAGTACACAAAAATGTTTTAACAGTCTTGATTCATAACTTTGGGCAAATCTGAGCAAAAAAAATCAGAGACATCCTTATAGTTGCCTTGCAAGATATTTTTATGGAATCAGTTAGAGGCTTCTTGCTTTGACAGATTTCCTTAACACCACCTCTAAGTTTTCAGTCCTTATAAATAGTGTCAAAGAAAGTGTAAGTCTGAATAACTTAACTGGCTGTATGTGTTTGTTCCGGATGAAGAGGCCTTTGCCAATAGCTGTGATCAGTACTATTGGAGACTGCACAATAAAAAAGACTTATGATGGGATTAAATTATTTCAACACAAGCATCTAGTGCTATTTAAGATGTTTGAGAGTATATTGCCTAGCCCCTCAGGGCACAGATCTCCTGTAGGCCCAGAGTCATATCTGCTAGACCTGTGCAGGCATTTCAGATATGTTGGGACATCTAAATAGGTGCTGAATGCCTTTATCTGGGTAACTCCACCCTACCCCACAGATGACATACGACAAACACTTACAGCAGCTATCATTGCTGCACAGGACAGCACAGTGGGATTTCTATAGGCCAATTTTTCCCATTGTAGAAGTAACAAAAAAGGGGTGCTATAGCATGTAAGAAAGTAAGTATGAATCTCTACTATCGCTTCAGTGAACTTTGAGATTTGCCACATCTGACACAGATCAGTGTCAATCCCCAGTTTTCTTGTGGACACCTTTATCCCAGGCTACCGTCAACTGAAAATATCAGGAAGGTGGTACGACTCTATTGACCAGATGTGGATTACTTAAAATGACCTAAATGATAACATGTCATTATGGATTTAGGGCACATCTGCCCCTTCAACTCATTACAACATCAATGACATTTGAACATCAAAATGTTTGTCAAAAATCAAAAAGAGTGAGGTATATCGATTACATCGTAACAAGTCCTCCTAACAGTAATAAGGGAAGAATTATTCCTTTTTTTTTTTTCTAACGCTGACTCTCTGATGAAGAGGTACATTGACTTGGTAATCATTTCTTATTAACAATATTTAGGTTCCTCTGATCTCTAAAGATTTTTTTCTAAATTGTGGAATTCTTTTTGTTCTAGTCACTTCTCCCATTTAGAGTAGATGAGGTTAATATTTAAGTCTTAAATCTAAAAAGTAAGACCAGCCATGGATTAAACTAGCAAGAATGTTCTAACAACAGTTAGCCAGCCTAAGAACTAGGTTTAGAAGTCGTAAGCTTTGCAAATAATTTTTAAAAACTCGGCAACAGAGCATGGTCAGAAATAAGAGTCGTCTTCTTTCCATCCATTTTCCTTCATTCCATTCCATCTAGTCTAAGAGATGCCAGACTGGGATCTATGGACCACTACTGTAACCCCGTGATAATCCCAAGCGATTGGCAGCTGGTTTTTGGAATCATATTGTCTTCACAATGTTTTCAACCAAAAGTTTGAAAAACACAGGCTGCCAGAAATCTGGAGAACATGTGGTTTATGGTCTGAAAGATATGAGAACCACTGATCTAAAATACATAAATACCTAAGATAAACAGCATCCACACATTAAAAGGCAATATTAAGTAGTTAATGCCAAATTAATTCACATCACTAACAGAAATATTTTTATGAATTTATATTTTATGAAAATGTATGAAATTTAGTTTGTGAAGTGATCCAAATAAACGCCTTCAATAAAATACAATTTAAAAACCACATTCTTGCTTTGACCTTACCTTCTAAGTGGTTCAGGATAAAAATTGTTTTATGAGGCAGACTTAAGAGACTGCTAGTCAAGCAGTTGAAGGTAAAGAATGCAAGAATGCAATTGTCTTTCTAAAATAGTTTTCACTTCCATAAACAGCATGCAGGTAGGACTTAGGGTAGAATTAAAAGTAATACTGATCTTTAAAAAAAAAAAAAATCACTAGAAAATGTAAGGAAAAAGATACGTGGGGGGGGGTGAGGGGGTAAGGGGGTGAGGGAGAAAAGAAAAAACAAAAGACAGACATAGTGACTTAAAAGACATAAATAATACCTTACTAATTCTGTGAGAGAATGGTAAAACAATATTGCTAAACTGCAAACAGAAAAATTACGGTCAATACAATTGAAGCCAATATAAAATTAATACTTAACTATAATACTCTGTGATAAGCAAGTAAACCTAGCAATGCCATGGTGCACACACAAGGCAGTTGCTAAAATAGCTGCTATTGCATATTTTTAAGTTAGCAAAGCATTCAGTTTCCATGATTTCCATAATTAATATTCACAAATTGGGCACAGAACACCTAGCATTCAAACCAAATCCACCACTTGAAATAAAAGGAAAAAAAAACCCTGATGCTGAGTTATTCTTTAAAAACAATAAATGTCCTGATTGGCCTCTGGCTTCTGCTGTGATCTTGTCATCAATCCAAGGCAAAAGCATGAGAAAACTGACATGGAAATAAAAAAAGGACAACAGAATTATATCATCCAATTATATTATTACAATAATACACAATATGTAACTATTGCTTAAACAAGAAAATAGTAAAACAAGTGATTTGCAAGTAATTTTAGGTAAATCATTATGAATGTGTGATGTATAAGTAAATGCATGTGTTTATCAAGTATTTTTGTCATCATATAACACAGAGAAAGGTTCAAGGAATGCACGACAGCACATTTGAACAAGTACCGATGAACCCACCTAGCCAATCTACGAGAGGGCAGCAACAGTGCTTTAGAGCAAATGCAAAAAGCTTGCCATTAACATGCTTACATGGGGATTTTCTTTCAAGCTACATGAATTGCTACCTGAGTATGAGTTGTGTGTTACAAATGTGAGTATTCGGACAAATCACACACAAGTCTGATTTCCAACCTTCCTAAATTCTTTGAGGTAATGATAATTGCAGCAGTGTAGCTCTACCAGTCATCTGAATAACACAGTACTCAATCACTTCTCAGTCAATCAATTTTGACCTTCTTTGCAACTGTCTTTTGTACCATGTTAGAGATTATATGATGCATTATCTTCTAACAAACATCATGAAATTTTAAGCATTAAGTATAATACTGAAGGAAAAAATACAGCAAGTCTTAAGACTCACATTTCTAAAATACTAACAGGCAAAAGAGAGAGAGAGAACCATGTACCTGCTGTTTGTTCTCTCTAGAATATGGCAGCATGGTTGAAACATGGAACATTATTTCATGCCCTTGAAAAATTGTATAGATGGAACAGGTTCCTGTTATTTCAGGTCCTTCTATCAAACATTCTTTAGTCATCCTTTTTTTCTGATCCATTTTAGAAAATGTGCACGCTGCATGTTTTACTTGGGTCCAAACCGGAGTTTGCAACCCAATCTGCATATTCACACACTCAAAACCTACGACGTCCTTCACCTAGCCTCCTGAAATCACACATGGTTCTTCAAGCCATGACGCCTACTATCATGAAGCAAGTAACACATCAGTTTATTTTCACCCCATTCCAATATAAAGTGAAACCATTCAACTTGAAAATACAGGTCATACAAATACTTATCTTCAACTGCATTCCATATCAGCGATTTAAACTAACCTGACTTTCTCCAAGTGAAGCAGAACGTTTAGCATGCACATGAGAAAGTCTGTTTTGGGAATGTATTATTTCTACAATATATACAATATGCACATGCAATAAGCAAAAACATTTATATTGCAGCCCCTCCACTTTTTTGCTTCAGATAAGTTCTTACTTTTAGTGTCTAGTCCTCCTCTGTAGCCTGTCCAGCCCTTCAAAGTAACTGTGTCACCCAAGAGATCCAAAAATCTTTGAAAGCTTTCACTTCCTGTTTCTACAGATGGAAGGGAGAAATGTTACAACAGCAAAGCACGTGTAGTAGCAGAACACCTATTAAAAAAAAAGTCAAAATACAGGAGCAGGTCCTGCTCCCAGAACATGAGGACTACAGTTTCAGCTTAATTAGTTTCTCCTCATGTCATCCAAGCCTTCTACCTTTACAGAAACAGCATCCCAGTCTTGAAGAACAGGCATCATCATGTGACATTAAACAGTGACACTGTTCAAGCGCATAGAAGAATGTGATGATGCTGCAAAAACATAAGAGTGAAAGAACTAGGAACAACAGTGATTTTTTTCAGGTAACATCAGTTGCCTCCTTCAACTGCTTCCTTTTTCCAAATCTTACGTTGTGTAGTCTATTTCCAGAAAAGAACTTTCAATACCTTCCAAGTCATAATAGTATGTTTTCTACAGCTATCTTTTATAGAACTAGAAGATTCTACCCTACAATTTTTCACCAAACTCGAACAGGAAAAACCTAACAAAACTAGTGTTCACATACCCATTACATCCCTTCTGGTTTCTATGTGTAGGCACTATCTCACATTTTTTAATTTGGATGAACAGAACAATGAAGAATAAGATGAAAAACTCACCATTGCTGAACATTTCATCATCTGTAAGCTGCCCATCCTTAGCATAAAGGACTCCAAATTTAAAATTCACAGATCCCTGAAAAATAAACCAATCAATAAAATAAAGCAATCAAACAAAAGACTTCATGTTTTCTCTAAGGACCTTTACATAGATACCTTTGTACACATCCAATGCATGGCAATACACATTTCACACCAACTTCATTACATGCTCAAGTAGCAGATACCTAAAAATTGACCTTTGATCACAAATTATGAATTTTACTGTATAACAAGTTGGTAATCTGTTAATACGATATATTAAGTCGGTGCTTAAAATTAGTTATGATCTCATCTATTGCAAAGAAATACTACTTTTTTTACTGCAATGAGCAATTGATTTCTAAGTTATCACAAGCACGTCAGTGCAAATATTTCAAATACAAAGCTGTACTCATTGAACAGGTCTGTGAGATAGAAGTGGTAAGTTTACGCTTACCTCTTGCTCTTCAAGAACCAATAAATCCTATAAACAAAACAGTATCTTTAGCACACTGATATTGAAGATAGTACAAATAAAACTGTAACATCCTTGTTTATTTAAGTTTTGTTTTGAACTGGCCAGTTCAACTGATAAAGACATTTTACTTTGCAGTATCACGTTACCCTACTCATCATTATTACCCTGCTACTGAAAGACACAAACTAGTAGCATTTATACTTAACGAATTGTTTTTCCAAAAACTAATAAAGAAAAACAACCAAACAACAGAAGTCACCTCCTACCTTTTGTATCTCAGGATGAAATATTTCCCTTGGACTTTTCTCAAATTTGTTGAGACTCATAGCACTGAAATGCAAATGAAATACTGCTTTACAGAAGGGCAAGTATATATTTCAACATTAAACCACTGTTTGCAGTTAGAACTGGTTACAAAAGGAATTGTTCAAAGAGCCTCTCTTACATGCAATGGTTTGTGGACTAGCTATTTTCTTCCCACAATACTAACATCCAAGACTTCTTAAGCTTCTTTTGGATTTAAAAACCAGAAATTAGTGACACCCTGCATAGAGATCAAGTTTAAATTTACTGTATTTACTTATACAGCACAGAGCTTCATTCCATCACCCTTCACTCTGGCTTTATACATAACCATTGTGAGAATTTTAGGAGGACCCAATAATCTATTCTGTTTTGTAAGGTTTTCTTCTCTCTCTTCTAAAATAATTCAAGGCAAGTTAAATGAAAAACGAGCAATTCAGCATCAAATTCACATGCCAGAGATCGACAAACACAACAGAAAAAAAATATTTAACTAAGAAGCAATACGAACTGCCTCAATAAACAGAAATATCTAATTTACAGCATTTTTTTCCTAACTTGTGTTTCTGCATTTACTATTACTTTTGCCCATTTTTTCCCTCCCAGTATTAATTTATAGAATTGCACAGCATGTCACGGAGTGCCAAATGCAGTGTGTCTGGGGCACAGTGGACTAACAGGCAGGTCAAATCTGATGCATCCTTCCATCATTTCTTATGCTAGATCACAGTGCAGACAGGATTTGCTTTAGTTCCTTTTGAAAGGGATTAATATGTTCCAATTAATTTAGAAAAAAAAGGTTTATTAATGTAACCAAAATTCTTTGTCCCTAGATTCACACTGGCTGTGAACAGGGTGAAATGTCAAAGGAATATCAATCAGGCCTGAGGGAAGGCTCAAGGACTGTAAAAGAATAGTCAGGGAAGACATTGTAGTCTAAGCCCAAGTGAGCAAAAGGGCATGACATTTATGATCTGATCGCAGGTGGCACAGACCCTGGGAGAAGCGGGGAACAAGGTCTGAAACAAGCCTGCATTTTCCTCTGTAAAACACTGGAGCATCACAGGATGGAACATGTGATGGTGTTTCAGCAAAAGAGCTATGACCCTAGCTAACGGAAGACAAAGTTTCTCCACTCTGGGATGCCTGACCAAAAATGTATATGTGGGTGAGAGTGGAGGGCGATGCTGGGTTAGAAAGGGATGTTAGGAAGAGATATTTCAGCGATTGGTGGGCACACATGGAAGATCAGGTGCAGTTTAGCATGCAGGTATAGCACGCAGTACTGACAACTAGGAACACTATTCAAGCCAGCGCTGCTGGAGTTAGAAGAGCAGGCTTAGCTCATCTCACCATCTTGACACTCCAAACCAGAGCCACAGCCCAGAAAATTAGAATTAAGAAGTGAGGCTCAATGGCCTGCTAGCCTCTCTGGCAAATTCAGTCTGGGACTTTTCAGAAATCTTGTGCGATTGTAGGAAAATAGAGATCTGGTGGTAGTGACTTCACATCATAACACGTGCTCTGTTCCCAGAATTCTCCTCCCACATCAGCACTGGCCGTGTTATCCAGTGGACTGGCTTCAACCAAGCAAGAGACATTTGCTCACACTCCATACAGATCAAAGGTTTTGAAGACCTCCAGACTGCCCATTTATCTGGTACACACTGTCTGTTCAGTAAACGAAGGCACTTTTTATGGGTTTCTAGAGGAGGTAAAATCCTTACAGAAGATGCATTTTAAGATGTTGTCAGCGGGGGATTTGAAAAAAAAAAAACCAAACACGATGAGATTGTAAAAACTGCAGATTAAATTTGAATGAACACTTTGCAAACAGGTGCTCTGACATTTCAGCTGATTGTAACATTGAAAGAAATGGAAATGGTGTTGGGCTTGCTCATCTTCTATTCTCTTCTGCCACAAGAGGGGCAGGACAGAGTATGAGCATGCCCATACAGACTGTGGCTGGGGGAAGGAATTTTCCTGGCCTTACTGACCGTGTGTATAACACACCCTAAGAGACTTACATGGAGACAATCAACTGAAGAAATAATTCTTCATTTCTTCCCTGTTTGCTTCCTGTTATGCTAGGGCCACATAACAGCCACCTCTCTAGCCCAAATCTGCTGTTCCTTTGGTCTGTTTATTGTCTATCTAATTTAAAAAGGTATTTCTTCTCAACCACTGCAGTTCCACTTGGCATCTGTCTTACAATTACCTTGAAAATAGTCCCTCTACTGAAGAAAAATTGCTAAGAATTTTTCTCTGTTTCAAGTTGTCACTTTGTCTATTCCAGAACAAGCTTCAAAACCACTTTTTGCTGCCTTTTTGTAAACCTGTTTTTACTGTTTTTATATATCTATTATGAAAACCATGCAGCACAAGCAGTGAATTACAGGAAAAGGCATACGGACACATATCTTAACTGATAACTTATTTGTAAATACATACCTTAAAATAGATTTCACTGATAATGTTTTTGTGGGACTGTACGGGAGACATATTTTCTGAGTACCCTATAAAAAAAAAACAACTAGGAGATATTACAGGACATACTGACTTCTTCTGCATATTCAAATAGGAATATTAATAAAAACAATTACGTAAAAAAACAAAGAACAAAACCACGCTAGTTTTACTTAGCCATATTCACTACTGGTTTGGGAAAAGAAAAAAAAAAAGAAAAACTGAATGTGAAAAGTCATGGACGGTGCAAAATTATGTTTTACTTAGTTTTGACTATCCTAGCATGTGGTATGACGGCTGCTGGAACTAGCAGAGATTACGAATGATTTTTCTTTTTTTTTTTTTTTTAAAGAGTGAACCACGCATGCATATGGGAGAGTTTTAAATAAATTTCTTGGATAAAAGGCTCTTATGAAACATTAAGTGAAAAAAATTCATTAAACAATGTTAGTGAAACCAGTATCACACCTGCCCATTTTCTTAACGTTGTATAACAAAATCCTAAAAGCAGTATAAAGTCCTAAACTGATCGCAGGACATCATCAAGAACAATTTAGGCAACATTTCTAAAAGTAACAGAGTTGCAGGTAAGAACAATTAAAAAATGTCTGGCATCACAGATTTCTGTCAGAAAGTTTAGTGTAATGTTATCTACAAAGCTAGTTTAGTTTTATCTGCTATGTTAGAATTATATGTTCTTACTGTATAAAATGAAAAATATGTATTAAATACTGAAATTCTCAAGAAAGCAAAAATGTATACAATAAACACATCCAAAACAAACAAGCAAACAAAAAAACATTCAGAGCAACAGTTGAAATATTTGTTTCTTACTATTTTTCTCCAAAGTATTGAACGGTACTGAGGAACACGTTGATTATTTTGGTCAGACAGTACCACAGACAGAAAGAAAGGGTTCTTCTCTGCATCTGTACCTATATAATTTTGATGAACTGTTAGGAAAAAACAAGTAGCATTATCAACCATAAAGAAGAGACACACACCCGCTCACGCACACAGACACGTATAAATGTGCAAATAGATTCATTGATACATAAAAATATATACTTATCTACATAAATAACTATGTATTTATATAAAGATGTATAAAAAAATCCCCAAGAGACAGGCACAGCATTCAAGGCCAAGAAGGGTTTCAAAATATCCCTTTTGGTAGCAGAGGTTCTGCCGCTTACAGAAACCCATCCTCTGTCTTCAGGTTAAACAACATGCAACAAGAACTTGTTTTCTGTGCAGGACATAAAATTTATTAATACTAAATTAATACCATGCTTTCTTCCATATTTACATAATAACAATTCAAAGCCACATTGCATTTTCATTGGTTAAATCTTCAATCCATTCACAAAAAGATAATTACCTTTCCCTAAAAAATATTTGAAGTACCATCTTGTATGATACTCTGGGTTTTCCAAATGCACATCAGTTCTGTGCCATGTGCCCGGAGCATTGTCTGTATTCTGAAATAGAATCGGGAGACTGTAAGATCAAATGCCAAGGAAAAAAAAAAAAGGAGAATATAATATAGGTAAAAGCCAGTCAAGAGTGGTTGATTCACCAGAAAAGTTTTAGCTGCATACTGTTTTTTAAAAAGCAAAGAATTATTCTGAAGTCAGTTGTTGTTCAGCTGAATTTAAAACTTCTCCTTCTCCTCTTCTTTTTTCTCCTCTTTTCTTTCTAAGTAACTACAGTCTTCTCCTATTGTACCACTGTGTGGGTAATAGCTTAGTATTCCACTGAAAAGAACTTATTTCAACATGAAATTTGAAGACTAGTTTTTGAAAACTTAAAAATAAATAAATTAACAAACTGAATTCTGCCTCCAGGGTTCATTTTATTAGGCCTTCTGAAAATAATCCTCAAGGACTCTTCGCTAGACCAGAGCATGCTCTGGAATTTCTCCAGTGCTGTTTCTGGGTTAGCTGGTTAAGTTAAATTCCCAAGCACCCTTCAAGTCCTTTTCCACTAACAATTAACACATGCAGAGAAAAAGCCATTCTCCATATCCATTCACCATATGGCCATTCTTCACCCACTCAGAAAATTTTTCTGCAATACAAGCTAATCAGCTTTTACACTGAATGAAACTGAACTAAAAAGACAGTAAACAGAACATCACCCCACAGAGATTCAATGCAGAATAGTGAGATTGCTTTAAATTCTGCACCCAGTGCTGATGCAAACAGATGATCAGTAATAGTTTACTGCTAATGTTAGTTCAATACAAGCTTATGAAGACCTTGCATTTATTTCAAAAATATAAGCTCTTCTTTCTTTCAATATTAGATGATATCTACAGCTGAAAAACTTTTGCAAAGGAAGATAAAAGATGAAGATAAGTAGAAACCTAAGTGTCACTGGAGTAGTTGCAGGGACACACCATGAGTTTAACAGCACGGGAATCTGTAGGGAATGACTCTCTCATGCTCCACTCAGCTTCTTTATCTCTTATTTAAAGATAAGCATAGTTGCCAAAAGACAACTAAGGGGAGAAAAAATATAAAGCTATAACCTCATCATACTGAGGAATAAACTTAAAAGCACAAAGGTCAGCTTGAACATAGTAGTATCACCAGGACACCAACATAAAGCAATGAACTAGAGACTGTGAAGTGTTATTCAGAAGATAGGATAGATATGTTTCTTCTGACATGACCAGGTGAGCAAAACATTACCAAAACTAAATGAAATAGCAGCTTTTCCCTTAAATAATTATATTGTCGAGATCGCATACTCTTGAAAGAAAAACTAAGAAAAATCCCCACTATCTCCCTCCTCTTAGATTCTTACATTCTCATATTATTTAGCATTTTTCAAGTCCTCTTCCTTCGTAATTGACTGCAAATACCTCACTCAGTGGTGAAGAATAACTGAAGCTGAATTATTTTTTTCAGCTTTCTATGAGTATCTTTAGCCACTTACCTCACCAGAGGAGCCGTTTTCCACGCGGAACCGTCCAGCTCTCTGAATGGCTCCATCGGCATCACTAGATATAAGCTGTAAGAGAGTTTAAGATAAAGGTTCTAGTTCCAAAAATGGCCATATGATCAGCATCAAAGCTTACTACGGTTTCCTCTTCTCCCAGGCTTCATATGACTACCAACAGAGAAGGGATCAGCACAGCTATTGCTAATTTGACCACCGATTCGGAATGGTCCAATTATAACTCTCAGGAGGCATGAGCGGGAAAGCCATTCATTCACTCTTTTGGTAGATCCCGGTACTAATCGGAAATTCTCATGTCTCAAACTCTGGCTGCACCAACGCACAGAATGCCTACAGAGGGACTTGTCCGCTTTCCAGAAACTGATCTTGAACCTTGCTCCTTTCAAAACAATGGGTCTTACAGACATGATTGCACGTCTTGCAGCCCTGAGGAGAACAACTTGGGGGTACTGGTGGATGAGAAGCTAAACATGAGCCGGCAACTTGCGCTTGCAGCCCAGAAAGCCAACCATATCGTGGGCTGCATCAAGAGAAGCGTGGCCAGCAGGTCGAGGGAGGTGATTCTGCCCCTTTACTCCGCTCTCGTGAGACCCCGCCTGGAGTACTGCGCCCTGCTCTGGAGCTCCCAACATAAAAAGGACATGGATGTGTTGGAGCGGGTCCAGAGGAGGGCCACGAAGATGATCAGAGGGCTGGAGTACCTCTCCTACGAGGACAGGCTGAGGGAGTTGGGGCTGTTCAGCCTGGAGAAGAGAAGGCTCCGGGGTGACCTTAGAGAAGCCTTCCAGTACCTGAAGGGGCCGACAGGAAGGATGGAGAGGGGCTTGTCACAAGGGTGTGTAGTGATAGGACAAGGGGGAATGGCTGCAAACTAAAAGAGGGCAGATTTAGATTAGATATTAGGAAGAAATTCTTCACCACAAGGGTGGTGAAACGCTGGCACAGGTTGCCCAGAGAAGCTGTGGATGCCTCCTCCCTGAAAGTGTTCAAGGCCAGGTTGGATGGAGCTCTGACCAACCTGGTCTAGTGGAAGATGTCCCTGCTGATGGCAGGGGGATTGGAACCAGATGATCTTTCAGGTCCCTTCCAACCCTTACCATTCTATGATTCTATCATAACTCTTGTCCTCTCAGCCTTGCTAAGTCTAAAACTCTACTTGTTGGCAGTATTACTGGGACTAGCAGTCTTTTACTGCTGTTTATATATTGCTGTTTTCAGAAGATGGAGAGCAGGAAGATTCTCCAAACATCGTACCCAGTGATGATCCTGAACAGCATAAGGGACAGGAGATGTCCTGGTCTGCTTCCAGCACTAACATCAGAAAATAGGCTTGTTTCCAGCTGAAGACTTCAACAGTTTCATAAATACCCTGGAAAGACAGCCTGGTCTTTTTATAAGGGAATCCAGGGACTCCCAGAACACTGAAACTCTCTTTGTTCTTAAAAAAGCTCTTGGAAGTCATTAACACATTAGATAACACAACAATTCTGATGTGTTCAGCAACAGTGCTTACGATCCCTACAAGAGAAGAGGAGGAGAATGCTGCCAATGATATTGCATGTTACTCCTCTCAAAACTGTAAAAAATTAGATTGTCACATATCATACCAAGCATACGAAATGGGATCTGAACAGCAATAATGCAACGGTATATCATTTCTTGCTTCCCTCTAGCAAACCATGTTATTCTAGGATAATACTTTCTCCCTTTACTTGGTGGAAGAGTTACCACAACATTTATTTTGAAGTTCTCTTTGCTCCTTGCTTTGAAGCGGTCTTAGGCTATGTCAGGAATAAACTAGCACGGCAAAAATCCCAACACATTCTGGTGCCTTGTATAAACAGTGAGAGAAATTATATGGAAAACTGGTCATATTACACCAGTGACGTAGGAAAACATGTTTAGGGCAGAGACAAAATAATTGTGTTGTAATAAATAAAACTTGGAAATAATTGAGCAACTGAGATGCTGCTGTGGAAAATATTAAGCAAGAAAGGTTCAATATTAAACACTTAGCAATTTGAAAGGCCGACAAGCACCTTTATACGTTTCTACTCTTAAAGATAAGATGACACACTGTCATAAAATACCAGCAGACTTTCAAGAAAACCAATCAAAAGACAAGACCATTTGTGTGAGCTTCCTGTGAATTTATAATTATCAATACATTTTTCTTTTCCAGAAAAAGAATCTAAGTACTAGTAATGAAGGGTTTTCAAACCTCAAAAAAAACCCCATTTCTCTTAGCAGAAAGCAGCTCACTTGGTTTTTTTGATTAAACCACCACATCTAATATATGGACTGTATGGAAAGAAAAGAAAGATACCTGGTGTTCCTGCAATGTAACTTCCAGCAACTAAGCCACCAATTTACAACCAATTTACATGCATATTAATAAATATACTATCCCAGAACTTTAAATTACATCTATAGCTAGTAGAAAATCAGTGATTTCTCCCCACAGCAAGAGAGCTGGAGCTGGTTTTTTTCACCCCTCCCTGCTTCTGTTTTCTTATAGTAAGCTTATGTTATTTCCATTCTATCAATCAATGAATCTATTATTTCATTATGGCCTTGTATACAGAATGACATTATTTTAACTGCTGACATACCGCTATTTTCACAGTGGAGAAGAAATTTATATATGAGAAAAATTAAGTGTCAACATAATCTTTGAATTTGAAGAAAATGCAGAATAACTGACAGATTCTAGGGAACAGTTTTCAATATCCTTATTCTGACTAGTTGTTTTAATTTTAAACCCTCCCCCACTACTCTGAGGCATGCACACATAAAATCACATACACACATATATATGTACAAACAGGAGCATGCACACAGTTTTTAACTCACATAATTGTAAGTACTTAATCAAATACCACCCTAGTATTTTGCAGTCTTCAGCTCATAAGAGGAAAAAATGGCTCAATTCTGATCTAGGGGAAAACATCATATTTATATAAAACTTGCTGTCCCGTTATGATGAAATATTCGTAAATAACATAGTAAAAAGATTTCCTAGCACAGGTCTAATATATCTATTCTGAAGCCTCTTTTTATTACCCTATAACTTTCAAGTCCAGTTTAGAAAGCACATTTTCCAAACTAGATCAAATTTTTCACCTGGAATTGAAAAAGATTTGAGCTCTGCATTATAAGTTGCTAAAATCGAAGGACAGGCTATGTAAACTTACAAGCTCCACAGATCCGTAATGCTTTCTGCTAAACTCTCCGCGTCTGCAACCCAGATCTTCAGAGACAGAGCTGAAATAGAAACACTTCATCAGTATACACAAATCAACTAGTCTGAGATCTCCTGCAATGCTATACCCTCAAGGAACACTCCTTAAAATGTGCACAATCTCTAGCAGCCATTGCAGTCTGGCTTTCATATTACCCCCAAAGGAAAAGAAATGTCTGTGCCCTGACTGGAAGCAAAAGCTGTGATTAAATTAAATATTTAGTCATGATGTAATGAGAGTTCCAAAGCAGGTGGTAGCTTATAACCATGTTTGAAATCTGTGCTTAATCTAAGCAAAGAAAAACCTACAGTAAACTTAATGCCTCGAACAGGACAACTGCACAGTGCTCAATAAGCTCGTGCTTAGTATGCTGCTACTGTTTTTTTCAGTCCTTTTTTCAGCCTACACACAAAGTGAAACAATTACTTTAATTCAAAAGCACAAGGAAAGAACAGCATTTCATAGGTTTCTCCCCATCAACCTTAACAAAGATAAAACTGTCAAGCAAGCAAAAGTAATCCTAGAACGCAAACTTCAAAATCCATATGCACTATCATATATAATCTCATACCGCGTCACATTAAGCATATCACTACGTGCTTCATGAGGTCAAAACAGATAGCAAATACCTCCTCTAACTATAAACACTAAGCCTCCAAATGAAATCTAAATAAAGACTTAGATGCAAGTTTAACATAAATCTTGATTACCCAGTCTGTACCAGGACTAGCAGCTCAAACCCTCCATCATATTTCAAACTTAAGAGTTCACCCTTCAGTCAGCAGTAACGAAAATAGAGTCATTTAATTTTAATGGAAAAAACCAAACCAAACAAGAAACTCATCATCCAGCAATAAGAGATTAAATTTAAATTGGTGAAGGGTCTGGAGAACAAGTCTTATGAGGAGCGGCTGAGGGAACTGGGGTTGTTTAGTCTGGAGAAGAGGAGGCTGAGGGGAGACCTTATCACTTTCTATAACTACCTGAAAGGATGTTGTAGTGAGGCAGGTGTTGGTCTCTTCTCCCAAGTGACTAGCGATAGGACGAGAGGCAATGGCCTCAAGTTGCGTCCGGGAAGGTTTATATTGGATATTAGGAAAAGTTTCTTTACTGAAAGAGTGGTGAGGCATTGGAACAGGCTGCCCAGGGAAGTGGTGGAGTCCCCATCCCTGGAGGTGTTCAAAAAATGTGTAGACGTGGCACTTCAGGGCATGGTTTAGTAGGCATGCTGGTGCTGGGCTGACGGTTGGACTTGATGATCTTAGAGGTCTTTTCCAGCCTTAATGATTCTATGATTTTCCGAGAATTATCAGTACTGTAAATTGCAATGTTGTATTGATAGACAGAGAAACATCAGATTTTAATGCAACATCCACATACGCGTTTCTTGACTGTAGGAGATACTCTGAAACATTTTAATTTTTAGACAGTTTTTCTATTTGGATTCGTGTTTACAAGTACTTAAAATTTATTAAACACGATTCACATTTCTGAGTTCTGTCCACTTGGATTCCATGTCTTCACCCAAGAAGAAGCAATACAAACAAGACGTATCTAATGAAACTTTAAAACTCATCAAAATAATTCTAGTATTTGCTTCCAGTACGTAAAATATGCAGGAAGGATATG